TCCAGTTTATTCTAGGCTTTGCAGTCTCAGTTTGTATCTACTAATACTGTGTTATGGATGATACTCTCAAGTGACACTTGAGGATGCATCTCTTAAATAAATGCACTTTAGTTTGCCATTGTCAAGGAAGGAATGATTTAGCCAAGCATAGAAAACAGCTGAGTCATGAGCTCTGTGTGCGTGGTATATGAAGTGCTGTCAATTTTGGGAATTTGTTGACTGACTTCTGTGAGGGAGAAAAAATGTGACTTATTTTTGAACCTGGATGAAAGGAATGTTTCAGACTATACAACTCTTCAGCCACTCCCCCCCGACTGGAAATTGAACTCAGGACCTTGCAATTGCCAGGCAGGTGTGGCATCGATGAGCTATATCCCTGGCCATCCTTAGTGTGGGTTATTTTTTCCCCCCTTCAGTTTTTTTTTTTTTTTTTTGGACAGGGTCTTACTATGTAGTTGAGACTGACCTGGAACTTACAGTGATCCTCCTGCCTCAGCCTCCAGAGTGCTGGGATTACAGGCATGCGCCACCACGCCTGGCATCCTCGGTGTTCTTAAATACTGAAACTACATTGATTAATGATCAGAATTCATTTTAGGTGTTTTGAGACAGGGTCTCAAACTATGTATTTGAGACTGACCTGGAACTCACTATGTAGCCCATGCTGGTCTCAAACTTATAGTGATCCTCCTGCTTCAGCCTCCTGAGTGCTGGGATTACAGGCATGCCCCACCACGCTTGGCTGGATTTTGTACCTTTACATGACAGATCTTGGTTCCCATTTTTTCCCCTGGCCTTCCTTCAACCCTTCCACCCTCCCCTATTTACAAAGACTTTGTTTCCACTTTTTCCTTTTCTCATATTCTTTCTTTTCTCTTACTTCCTTTCCCCTACCCTTCCCACTTCCCCTGCACCTTTAGCCCTTTCTGATAAAAACTTTTGAGAGACTTACTAGATTCGAATTTAAGATGCCCCCCTCCCCCATTGAACTCATGATGTTGAGCTTGGGAGGCAGGCGTGGCACCACTGAGCTAAATCCCTGGCAAGATTCAACATTGTTTTTGTATTGCCCCTTCACCATCTATTGTTGCGAGTCAGGGCCTGACTGTATAGTTCAGACTAACCTTGAACTCATTGTGTAGCCCAGGCTGGCCTCTAACTCATAATCTTGCCTCATCCCCAGAGTGCTTGGATTACAAGTGTGTGCTGCCATGTTCGGATGCCCTTTCACCATTTTTAAAATTTAAGGCAAATTTAAAACAGTTTGGTTTGCAAACAGAAGTGTTGGGCAAAATTTTGTTGTTTGTGAACTCTGCATCAGGTGACAAACACAACCATGGCCACCCTTCCCTCAAGAACATGAATGTGGCCATCTTTTACAGAGTTAGTGGAACAAATTAAGTTTGTGAACCAAGGTGTACACTACATTTAAAAATGTATACTTGGTGATAGAGCAAGTATAAGGTCCTAGGTTCAATTCCCAGTATCGGAAAAAAACTCAAATCTATACATGGAGCATTGCCTTATAAAATGTATATTTCTATTTACTGTTTAGACATTATGCTCATAGGGTCATTTTATTTTGCTCTTTTAATGACATTTCATCAGAGCCAGTTTTTGAACTTTTTCATTGAAAGTATATGGAAATGTAGTGCTACAGCTTTTGCTAAATTTTTGTGTTATCTGAGACCACAATCTTACCATTTACTTACCCTATCTTGCCTTGATTAATTTTTGATTAATAGAGCCAATGATGATGGATCGGAAGGTTTTCGCTTTAGATGGTAGAAAAGTCATTATTACTTAGAAGTAGCATTGTTAATGTTGATTAATGGATTGGCTGGCTACATTATAGATAGGGTATTGTCTTAATCACTTCTCTTGTTGGTGAGACAATACCTGACAACTGCAGTCTAAAGGAGAGGTTTATTTTGGCTCATAGCTTCAGAAGTGTCAGTGTTTGCATGCTCAACCAGCTCCAAGGCAGAAAGTGTGGTGGAAGGATCTGCCTGGGCAGAAAACAGCTTACAACATAGAGGCTAGGCAGCAGAGAAGGGAGGAGCTGCTGGGGAGGGAGATACTACTGTATACCTTTTCAGGTCACACCCCCAATGACTGCCTCTATCCAGGGTATCTCCCCAAACCCCCCAGCAGCAAACCACCTGTGGCACTCTTTATTTTCCAGTCATCTTCCACAAGCCCTGCCTCAATTCATGAGGCTTTTGGGGGGCCATTCTTGGTCTAATCATAACAGTTGTCCTGTCTATTTCTCTGTTGTCTCCTTTATGGAACTTCTTTTTGTTTTCTGTTGTGTTGCTTTTGACTCCTAGATTTTAATAGTATTTTGTTGTGGACTGGGGTTTTAGCTCAGTGGTTCTGCTGCCTGCCTCGTAAGTGCAAGGTCAGCCTGAATTTGATCCTCAGTACCCGCCCCCCATAGTATTTTGTTGTTAGAATTCGTTTTGGTTTTTTTTTTGGAGACAGGGTCTCACTATGTAGGTGAGACTAATCTGGAATTCACTATGTAGTCCAGGCTGGCCTTAAACTTGTGACAATTCTCCTGAGTGCTGGGGTTACAAAGTTAGTTTTTTTTTTTTTTAGACAGGGTTCGTTATGTAGTTGAAACTGACCTGGAACTCACTGTGTAGCTAGCCCAGGCTGCTCTCAAAAGCACAGTTATCCTCCTGCCTCAGCATCCTGAGTGTTTGGATTACAGGCATGTGCCACCATGCCCGGCTAGTTATTTTCTTAGGTGCATAGGTTTCTGTGCTTAAAACATTTGGGTCCATACCACCACCACCACCATCAGTTCTGTCATCCATCCTCAGGGTACTTTTGTGTCTTTAGACATTATATATTTTTCATGAAATTTTTTTTATCTTCTATTTTTGATTGTACTAGGGATCAATCCCAGGGTCTTACACTGAGCTACATCTCCAGCCCTTTTTATTATAAGACAGTCTCACTCCCAAGATGGCATTGAGTTTGGAAATGTCCTTCCTCAGTGTCTCAGGTATTTGGGATTGCAGGTGTTCCTCACCCAGTCTTGTTTGATAATTTTTTTTTTCAATTCTTACAGTTACAGATTATTTGACCAGACTGAAAGCTCTGGGTAATGTCACCAAAGGTTACTACTTGATGCTAGATTATGAGAATCTAGGGAGATGTACGTGTTTCAAAGCAATTTATTGTGCTCTTAGGTTAACCTTTTTTGTAAAATAAAACATTTTAGTCTGCTTATCCATAATCCCATGCAATGACAAATTCAACCATCATTGCACTGTTTTCAGGTAACAACAGGAATATTTTTGTTTATAAGAGGTTCTTTAACTTAGCTCAGAGGTAAAGCACTTGCCTAGCATGTGCAAGGTTCTGGGTTTAATCTCCAGTGCTGCCCCCCCCAAATTATCAACAGTACTGATGTTTTATACTAGATAATTCCTTATGACCAGCTGTCCCATGTCAGTGGTAAGATGTTCATCAGTATTTTTGGCCTCTACTTGGCCTACTAAATGATACCAGCAGCAAGGACACAGAGTAGTCAGAAGTTGAGTTTAATTTACTGGTAGTTGGAAGAGTTTACATGGTGGGAACTTTAGGGGAGACTTTTTTCGCTGTTAGAATTGTAAGAATAGCATGTACTCAGGTGTTGTGGAAAGAAGGGGAAAGTAACCAGGAGTTTTAGGATGCATTGACTGCGTCTAAGTTTTGGAATTTTATCTTTGTTGATATGGGACTTTCAAGAAATTTCTTTGAACAGGCAAAATTAATGGTTTTTAAAAAATAATTGGTGTGGTGGCACACACCTGTAACCCTAGTACTGGGGAGTCTGAGGCAGGAGTGTTGCCACAAGTTCGAGGCCAGCCAGGATTACATAGCGAATCCTTGTTTCAAAAACAAAATTAATATTTTGACACAAATATTGAGAAATTGAGATAAGGGGGTGGGGGAGATAAATGACCAGAGTTGTTTACCCTGAATTGAGTAGGATAGAAAGAACAAAACTACTGAACCAGAGATAGAAGTGTGTCAGCCTTATTATCTAGAGATGTAAAAGGTATTGGGAGGAATTGACTTGGTGAACTCCCATTTTTTTTCCTGTTATGTGTGATGTATCTACTGAAACCACAGGCTGATGTATTTTGTTTTGCTCTTCTGTAAGTTGTGTGGAAACTCATTGGTTCTTTAGTTTGTGTTAGCCATACTAAATAGATTTTGATGTCAAGTGTTTGTGTGGGGGAGATTAATCAATTACTGCTGCTGCCACGATTATTGTGAACCTAAAACTTAAAAGTAGTTTTTACTATGTAAAATACATATATTGACTTTTTCAGATAACGTGGATACTTCAGATTATTTTTTTCTATTTCTGAATTTTGAGTTCTGGGCTATACTGATTGGTAGATTGGCTCTTTGGCAACATTGTGTTTTGTCTGCTCTCCATTGTCTCACCACTCTGCAGGACATGATTACTTTTAAGAATTAAGTTTACAACCCAGGCACAGTGGTGCACCTGTAATCCCAGCACTTGGGAGGGAGCCTGAGGCAGGAGGATCACTGAGAGTTTGAGTCCATCCTGGGGCTACGTAGTGAGTTCAAGGCCAGCCTGCATGGCAAAACAAAACCTTATCTCAGAAAAAAAAATTTTTTTTAAAAATTTTTTATAGTTTTGTACTTTTATCATAATCTGTTGATAACTTTATTATATATGCCTGTTAAAAATACAATGAAAAATAAAGCACTAGATTCAGAATCAAAAGGATGTCTTTTTAAAGGCTTAAATATGAGAAGCCTAACATTGCTGCTTGATAGAAGATGAAGTAGAAATAGAGAATAGGTTTATGTAGTGGAAGCTTAATACTTAATAAAGTGGAAACTTCAATTTGCTAAAGTTTTGGGCTTTTTTTTTTTTTTTTATTAGATCTTGGGATCTTCTGTAAAACACTCCTAATTGATAATAAGTAATTTTAAAACATGGTACACCTTTTTTCCCCTTTCAGTATAATAATCATGAAATTCGTTCTGGAAAACACATTGGTGTCTGCATCTCAGTTGCCAACAATAGGCTTTTTGTGGGCTCTATTCCTAAGAGTAAAACTAAGGAACAGATTCTTGAAGAATTTAGCAAAGTAACAGGTAAGTTGGATTTATTTTGAAGAAGGTGTGGCTTTTAATGAGGGACATACCAAATAACTGTGTACCAGGTATTATTCTAAGCACATTTGTTGACTCATTGAATCTTCACAACTTAATGAGGTAGGTAATCCCAATTTCTGGATGAGGAAAACAAGCACACAAGAAGAGTTTTAGAAAAGGACTTGTTCAAAGTTACTTATTTATTTAAAGCATGTTAGTAATGCAGCCGGAATTTGAATTTACTCTGCAAAATCATTGTTGTGCTTCCCTTGTTTTGCAGTTTTGTGTGTGTGTATTTTTCTGGGTGTTAGCTGGTAACAGTAGACTGTATGAATGATTTGAATTTCCAAGTTATGAATAATGACTGTTCTTTCCATAAGCATAGGTTATATATTGGTAATGTGATATAATTTCTATGACATGTAAAACATCTTTTATAAACCTTCAAAATGACAGGCTACTGTACTCTAAAATGTTTGTGTCTGTGTACAGTGTTATCAGTCTTTTAGTCTTTAGGAATGTTCGAAATCTTAGTAATATTTATTATTTCCTTTGGAAAAATGCCTTTGGTACCTGAGACTAGAGAAGTACCATTAAAGAATTTTAGTGTTTGCTTGCATAATAATAAATATCCAATGATTTTTAACCTATCCTGGCATATTCTTATATAAATTTTTTTGTCTATATAATTAGGGGAAGCAAAGTAGTACTTGAGACTAAAAATTTTTTCTTTTCATGGTGGTTTCTGTGTTGGGAAAATTTAAGGTAGATTAGGAAAAGTCTATGGACCTTTTTAAAAAACAATTCTTTTGGGAAATGGCTGATTAAGATATGATTTGTTTTCCAGAATGTTTTTTAAGTAGATCTTTGAAAAATCCTTTGATCTACTTACTTGCTCTTGCTAGTTTTTTAATGTGATTTTCCTGGAATGGTTGCTTACTTTCAGAGGGTCTTACAGATGTCATTTTATACCACCAACCGGATGACAAGAAAAAAAACAGAGGCTTTTGCTTTCTTGAATATGAAGATCACAAAACAGCTGCCCAGGCACGGCGTAGGCTAATGAGTGGTAAAGTCAAGGTCTGGGGAAATGTTGGAACCGTTGAATGGGCCGACCCTATAGAAGATCCTGATCCAGAAGTTATGGCAAAGGTAATGATAGTCAAGTTAAAAATAATTTTTGAGGCATTCATGGAAGGATGAGGGTAAAATAACAAAATGAATTGTGAACATTATTTCAGTCATTTCTAAAGGTGAGAGAAGTGTTCTTTAATAATGGATTTGAGTTACATGTATACGTACATGTTTATGGAAAGTGATTTGTTCGTAGACACTTAGCCACTGTAATCCCATGATGTAGTAGTTAACCCACATGCTTTAGCAATAGTTCACTTTCATAATGTATAGATTCTAAGAGAAATTCGAGTTTTTGAGAATGGTGCCATTAGCTGACATAGTTTTTGTGTTAAAAGTGTGAGTCCTAAAAATAGTGAACTGTATTGGCCCCAGCAGAACTGCTGTAGTTACAGCATTTAGCTATTATTAGGCATCCTGTTTTAGCAGTTAGTTGAGACATCTTAATGAAAATAAACATCTCTTGACTCAACAGTTTACTATATACTGTTGCAGTTGGCAGTTAAGTTAGTCTACATTTTCTCTTTTAATAGTTACAGGCTGAGTGTCAAACACAACTAGCATACTTAAATCTATACGAGAGGAGTGTGAATTGCTGGGAAAATTATGGATATTATTAAAGGAGGGTGATCTTAAAAGATAGTATACTTGGGATTCTTTTTTCCCTCTCACCTATAAAACTTAAGGGATTACCACTTAAACAAGTTCAAATAATACTATTGAAATATTTTTGGAGCAAGGGATAATACTTCTTAGAAACTTAATTTGGTAATTCTGATTTGAGAAACTTTGAGAATTAAAATGCAGTTTTTTTTTTTTTTATTGGTGGGATTTTTTTTTCTGTTTTGGTGTTGCTAAGGATCAGACCCAGGGCCTCACATATGCTAGGTAGGTTCTCTATCACTGAAACATCTCACCAACCACTTCGTATTTTAAACACTTTCTCCCAAGATCCTAATTAATTTTGATTACCCTGTTGTTAAACAGCAGTTCGAGAGGGCGTTGCATTTACATTGTTATGAAATAACTATCTTTCTGATTGCATAATTAATGTATTAAAGGTACTATGTACTAATGTATGAAAAGGTACTAAACATATAGTCTATGTGAAAATTGACTGTCACAGTAAGGTTTATACCAAAATTGAACAGGAAGTACAAAGACTTTTCCTACCTAGCCCTTCCCAATCTTCTCCACTGTCAGCATTCTAGTTATAAGTCATACATTTGTTAAAATTGAACCAACAGTGAGCACCTAAAACCCATTGGTTGCATTAACTTTACTTTTGGTGTACCTTTGCAGATTTTGACAAACATAATGACCGTTGTGAGATAATAAACTCTTTCCTCTTTCTAGAGAAAAGATTGGTTCATGAATTCAGTTCATGGTTGCTTGGCTCCTTAGCTTTTGGGCCTGTAGTAGTAATACATGGCACATGACGATGAGTCCCATGAAGTAAAAATTGAAGAGGAGAGCTACTAGTGTCTTCTGTTCATCCTTAGTGTTCAGTCCCTGACATTTTAAAAATTGACTTCATAATTTTGCCTTTTCAGATATCATATAGTTGGAGTCAGGTAGTATGAAGATCTTTTTTTTTTCATGTAGGCATTTAAGGATCCTGTGTGAGGTGAGTTTTTTTTTTTGGCTTAAAGACAGGGTCTCGTAGCCTGCCTTGTAAGCACCAGGACCCAAGTTCGATCCCCAGTACTCCCCCCCGAAAAAAAACCACAGGGTCTCATTAAGTAGTTCAGGCTGTCCTTGAAATCACTACGTAGTCCAAACTGGCCTCGAATTCATAGTGATTCCCCTGCCTCAGCCTCCCGAGTGCTGGGATTACAGGTGTGTGCCACCACACCTGGCTCTGATTCATTTCTTTATAGTGTGGAATATTTCACTCTGTACCAGTTTGTTCACTTCCTGAAGACCATCTTGGTTACTTCCAATTCTTAGTAATTATGAATAAGGCTGTTATATGTGAGTTTTTGTTTGTATGAAAATTTTTCGACTCCTTTGGGAAAATACTAGGGAGTAGTGAGATTGCTGGCTTGTATAGTAAGAATATGTTGCGTAAGAAGCTGCCAAACTTGAATTTTTTACTCATCCTTATAACTTATCCTCACCTACAGTTGAGGTTAATATTTTAGGTTTTGGTGATTTAAATAGGTGTGTAGAATTACCTCACTTTTATTTTAACTTGGTAATGATAAGTGATGTTAGGCATTTTTTCAGTAAGCCACCTTGCCATTGTATGTTGTCTTTGGTAATAGCTATTTCAGTTTTTTTTTTTTTTGTTTTTGTTTTTCTTTTGAGATAACATCATGGTATGTAGTTCAGGCTGGCTTGGAACTCAGTGTGCACTGGTCTCAGACTCACTGATTCTTTTTGCCTCAGCTTCCTGAGTGCTGGGATTACAGCTGTACACTACCACCCCGGTCTGTTTAGGCCTTTAACCTGGTCAGTAGTCTTTCCTTGGTATTTACCCAGAGGAATTGAGAAATTTTTTATAATTCTTATGGTGATGGTAATTCAAGTTTAACTTTGCAGCGTGGGGTCTTGAAAAGTGAACTCTGGGAAATGTATAGAGGATTTGTTTCTTTTTGTCTTTTAGGTAAAAGTGTTGTTTGTACGCAACCTTGCCAATACTGTAACAGAAGAGATTTTAGAAAAGGCATTTAGTCAGTTTGGGAAACTGGAACGAGTGAAGAAACTTAAAGATTATGCTTTCATTCATTTTGATGAGCGAGATGGTGCTGTCAAGGTAAATTAGTGGAATTACCATGGGCATCTAAATCAGACTAACAATTTTTTGTCATCCTAGAACCAGTGTGTGTTAAAAATTAAAGGAAATACAGAGGTCATTTAAATCCATTCAAATAAACTTTCAGTATTCTTAGCCAATTTTTTAAGTTAAAATGTTGTTGAGCTGAATCTTTACATAAAACTTCACCAGTCCTGTTTTATTTTACTGACTGAGGCTTTCTTTCATCTTAGTTATGATGACAGCTTTTTTTTTTCCTCTTGGTACCGGAGATCAAACTTAGGCCCTTGTGCTTGTGAGGCAGTTGGTGGAACCACTGACCCAAATCTCCGGGGGCCCATAATAGCTTTTTAACTTAAATGAGTCAGTTCTGTGGTTTTGTTTTTTTTTTGTTTTTTTTTTTTTTTGAGACAGGGTCTCACTATGTA